ATTTCTACGTTTTACATCATTGCTTTAAATGTCAATTCTTTTCATGCTTTTTCATATGGCAGCTTTGGAATATCTAAAATAAAAATCTTGTTGCATGAAATGTATTTCATTGGTACAGTTTGTACAAAGCTATATGTAAATGGGGGTGGGTGTATGATCAGAGTTTCAAACATTTTTGTACAATAAATTTGATCTTGAATCAGTCAAAGTACATGCACATGAACAAAGTGTGCAATGAAAAATGGGCTAAAGGGTTTTATGGTACACAATAGAAACCCAATTACAATGTATTAGATAAAATGTATAGCTGCTTTACCAAAGGTTGTAAAAGACTTTTTTTTTTTTTAAATTACACCTGACACATACAAGAAATAAAAGTGACATTATAAAAGGTAATAATAGTATAGCTTGCAGTAGTGTAGGCAGAGAGCACATGATTGGAGATAAGCACAATTCTAGTGATTCAATTCAAAAGCTGATTCATTGTTATAATCAAATGTTTAGCATTCCAATGAACGTCTTAAACAGCTTTAAAAAAAAAAAGGTCATAGAGTCATTTCAGACACTGAAACTACGTGAAATGTTCCGGGTAAGCTGTACTAAATTCAGTGTTCAGTAGGGACTATTAGCTGCCACAAGGTAATTTAATCAAGAAAGATAGAGATAGACCCAGTGGCAATCCTATAATGTATATTTATTGTGTGCATCCAACCTCTTTTCTCTAGCCGCTGTTGGTGTTACAATGAATTGCCGTTTTGTGCATATGGCTTGGGACTTCACATTATAGTAATGTTGATATTGGTTCTCTTTTCTGTAAGTGTGATATAAACACAAAAATATAGTTCTAGACAGCAATGCAATGTTTCTATTCGATTTAAAAGGTACCATGAATTATTGGGTTATCCATTGAAAGGAGATGGAAAAGACAAAATAAAAGTATTGATGGCCTTAGTGATCAAATATCATCCTTGCAATCGGATCTCAAAGAAAAAAAAAATAGAACTCACAGGGAAATTTGAGTTTGGGCCTCCACTTTGTTCTCTAAACCAGTGCTATCTTTTTTATTTTTTATTTTTTTTAAGTCATTTGCAAATGTCTTTCTCTGTGAGCCATTTAAAGTCAGTACTCCCTTTAGACATAGTAGGTAATGAGAGCAGAAAGGCACAGTAAAACTTGCTGCTCATTAGATGCTTTTCCCGACAACTCCGGTTAACTAATAGACAGAGCAATTAACTCATTGGAAATCAATTGAACTTCAATGAGAAGCAGGTAGTGCACAGTATACATCTTGTGAAACATGCATTGTTCAGATTTAAGCCAGCTGCTCCTTCAAGAATATTACTGTTTAAAAACAGACTAGAAAATTATACCTTGCATGGATTTCATGTTGTGCAAACTATTATTTCCTCCTACATCCATCAGCTTCAGTCCTTCCTCAAATCCTAATCAGCCACCTAACATGAAAACCGCTGATTTCGAACACTGACCTTAAAGGATCACAGACATGTATTACCGACACTATAACGTTAAACTAATTATTTAGGTCACCGGTCTCCCTTGTAGTAAAAAGGTGTTTAAAGAATACAGTTTTTCCAAGGTCGTGTCGATCTCGGCCAGACCTGGTTGTGCCTGCCTGGCTGAGATCAAACTTTATCTCAGCCACTCCAGTGCTTTCCCATAGGAAGGTATTGGGAGGCAATTGCGCACGAGTGGCAGAACGCTGCACTGCGCCAATCAGCATCTCTTCACTGACATGCATTGAATCAATTCATCTCTATGGGGAGCGTTCAGTGTCTCCATGCAAAGCATAGAGATGCTAAATGCCAGCACTGGACTAAGAAACACCTCTAGTGGTTGTTTGTGAAACTACCACTAGAGGTAGCGCTAGGCAGTAATGAAAAGGCAGTTTTTACATAGAAAAATCTGCAGGAACAGGCTATATTAGCCAGAACCACTATATTAAGCTGTAGTTGTTCTGGTGACTATAGTGACCCTTTAATTTTCCTGTATCCATTTCATCAGATCACCTCCTTATCAATTTAATTAAATACTTCCTCTACAGATCTCTTTTTCTTCCTTAAAGGGACACTCCAGGCACCAACATTTTAGCTTAATGAAGCAGATGTGATATAGATTGTGTCCATGCAGTCTCATTGTTCAGTTCGTTGATGTTTATACACCAATAGTATTTAGTAGATGTATCCCAATAAAAATATGCATCTAATTATGCATTTTCCTCATTGAGGATTATATATCAGCCTTTGTAAACCATCCCTCCCATGTGCTCTCTCCATTGCACAGAGTTTCAGATTTTATTAGAAACAATTTTGTTCGACTTGCTTCCATTTATATAATAAACAGGACTGTCTTTAACGCGGGGCAGCTGCCCCGGGCCCTGTCACTGCTGGGGGGCCCAAGGCAGCTGCCCAGTTTGCCCTCTGTCCGCAACAATGTATTTTGGGCACTTAGGGCCACTCGGTGGGCCTGTGTCAGTAAGGGCCCGGTGGGGCGCTGTGGCACTTTAACAGCATGACTGGACCCCTTGCTTTTCGGCAGCTCGCTGGGAGGAAGTGACAGACGTACGTCACTTCCTCCCACAGAAACAGTAGCCGCACGGGAGGAAGGAGGAAGGAAGACCAGCTGTTCCTGAGGGGGCCAGGCCGGGAGAGAGCGAGAGCTTAACTCCCAGCCACCCCAGCCAGCCCACTGGACCCCAGGGAAGCCACCCTCCAGAAAAAGATAAGAAACTGGAGGGTAGTTATCAAATTTTGCATGAATGTCTGAGTGTGTGTGTGTGTCAGTATGTCTGGTTGTCTGTGTGCCAGTATGTCTGTGTGTTTGTAAGTCTGTCAGTATATGTGTGGTTCAGTATGTCTGTGTGTATGTGTGTCTGTGTCAGTACGTCTGTCAGTATGTGTTTGTGTAACTGTATATAGTCAATGTGTGTATCTGTATGTGTGTCAGTGTTTGTATCTGTATATCTGCATGCGTGTCAGGTTGTGTATCTGTGTGTCTGTATGTGTTTCAGTGTGTGTGTCGGTGTATCTATATGTAGTCAGTGTGTGTACCTTTGTATCTGCATGTATGTCAGTGTTTGTATCTGTGTATGTGTCAGTGTGTCAGTGTATCTGTATGTTCTCGTTGTGTGTATGTGTGTATCTATATGCGGTCAGTGTGTATCTGCATGTGTGTCAGCTAGTGTATTTGTGTGTATCTATATGTAGTCATTGTATGTATCCTTGTATCTGCGTTTTTGTATCTGTATGCATTGTATGTTCTCATTGTATGTATGTGGGTATCTGCATGTGTCAGTGTGTGGATCTGTGTATCTGCATGTGTCAGTGTGTGGATCTGTGTGCCATTGTTTGTGTATCTGCATGTGTGTCAGTGTGTTCTCATTGTGTGTATCTGTGTATCTATATGTAGTCAGTGTGTGTATAAGTGTGTGTATCTATATGTAGTCAGTGTGTGTTATTGTTTGTATCTGTATCTGCATGTGTGTTTCAGGTTGTATATCTGTGTCAGTCTGTGTATCTGTTTATATGCATGTGTATCACAGTGTGTGTAGCAGTGTATGTGTATATGTGCGTACATCTCAGTATTCAAACATACTCCTGCATTGAAACATTAACACTACATACAAACACTTCTGAGTTAAAAACACCAAAATTATATATAAACACACCCCTGCATACACATAAATACATGCTTGCATTCAAATGCCAGCACCATACACGAACACACCCCTACATTCACACAAACATACTCCATACAAAACATGCTTACATTCAAACACACAAACACTGCTCATTGCTAAATACAACCCTGAAAGCATGGTACATTGATAGAGCCCCAGCTGTCAAAGCATTGTTGTAATTGTATGACAGATGGGGATCTACCTTATGGCCACCCTTGTGATAGCGGGGCCCAAACTAAGCAGTACCCTTTCTAGTTTAGTTCCTCCACTACATTGTGGAGGGCGTGACTGCATGCCAGGGAGTGGGGTGGGGGGCAGGGGGCCCAAGTAAATATTTGCCCAGGGTCAGGGACGTATTAGCCCCGAGGCAAAAAAGGCATTTGCCTTGGGCGGCATTTTTCAGGACGCGGCAATAAACGCCGCCCCCCAAACTGCTGGTGGGCGAGGGAGCTCTTCCTCTGAGCGCTCTGCTCAGCTCCCTCGCGCGCCACAGAGTGAGGTTGGGAGCCGGAAGATGACGTCATATTCCGGCTCCCAGCCTCACTCTGTGGCGCGCGAGGGAGCTGAGCAGTCAGCTCAGAGGAAGAGCTCCCTCTCCAGCCGCCCGCCCAGCAGCCTGACCGGCAGCCACTGGACCACCAGGGAGAAAGAGGAACCCCCCCCCAGCACTCCCAAAGGTAAGGACACTGTGTGTGTGTGTGTGTGTGTTTGTGTCTGACTGTGTGTGTGTTTGTGTCTGACTGTGTGTGTGTGTGTGTGTGTGTATATTTAGAAGGTCTCGCGGGGGGGGAAGGGTTGGGTGAGGGTGGAGCTGGGGGAGGAGGGTGCCTGAGTTTTGTCCTGCCTCCCTAAGGGAATTAGGGAGTTATCTACTTATTCATTCCTGTCATTACATGACTGGCTAAGTACTTGATTGTTGTAAGTGTTGCAAAAGCTTACAGCTGAATCCTGTCTCTATTTGTATACTTTTTATTTGAAATTGTATACAGTGTAACATTCTTCTTCTTTCACTGGGTAAGAATATCAGTACTTAGGCAATACTGTGTTCCGGAACTTCGGCACTTTGACACCTCGGAACTTTGGCAACTTCGGCACTTCAGAAATTCGTAATTTTGGCAATTCAGCTATTCGGAAGCACCCGAATGTCAGAATTACCTGAAATTCAGCCTAATTTTAATTTGGACCGAAACGAATTGCACATGTCTAGTGTTATCAATGTCCTATATGTGCTCCTTGTTTGCCCTGTCAAGCATGTAGATTCATATTGTTACGAACGCTGATATGGTAGATGTCCATTCGCCTATTTTCTGAAGCCTGAGTGATTCACTAAAACATGCAATCCTGCAAATCTATGCAAAGCTGCTTTCCCCTCCTGATGGTCTCAGAATGTAGAGTGGTCAAGCATGGTCCGGGGGGGGGTTCAATTAAAAAAAAAAAGTGTTAATGTGAGTGATTGTGTGTGTGTGTTTGTGTGACTGTGTGTGTGTGTGTGTGTCTGACTGTGTGTGTGTGTGTGTGTATGTGTCTGACTGTGTGTGTGTGTGTTTGTGTCTGACTGTGTGTGTGTGTGTGTGTGTGTGTGTGTATAAGGTGGGGCGGGGGGGAAGGGTTGGGTGGGGGTGGCGCTGGGGGAGGATGGTGCCTGAGTTTTGTCCTGCCTAGGGCAGCATAAAACCAGGATACACCACTGCCCAGGGTCCAATCAATATTAAAGACGGCCCTGATAATAAATACATATTTAGTTGATTTTGGAATGGTTGAATCTTGCAAAGGTTGCTTGTGAGGCTTGACAGGGAGCAGGTGTTCTAGGGTGTTTCAAAGGATTGAGAGAAAGGAGTTGTTTGCCAGTTCATTTCATTGTCAGTGACTTCAAACAATGTAGTAGACAACTTGACAAAGTACATAATGTCCTCCCCCCTGGGCCCCACCTCTGAGCAGTGGGTGGGGGCCTTAAATACAAATGGGGGGGGACCTAATGTCCTCCCCCCTGGCCCCCATCCCTGAGCGGTGGGTGGGGGCCCTAAACAAGGATAGGGGGAGACCTAATGTCCCTGAGTGGTGGGTGGGGGCCCTAAAAAGAATAGGGGGGGACCTATTGTCCTCCCCCCTGAGCGGTGGGTGGGGGCCCTTTATACAAATAGGGGGACCTAATGTCCTCCCCCCTGAGCGGTGGGTGGGGGCCCTAAACAACCTAATGTCCTCCCCCCTGAGCGTTGGGTGGGGGCCTTAAATACAAATTGGGGGGGGGACCTAATGGCCTCCCCCCTGGCCCCCACCCTTGAATGGTGGGTGGGGGCCCTAAACAAGAATAAGGGGGGCCTATTGTCCTCCCCCCTGGGCCCCACCCTTGAGCGGTGGGTGGGGCCTTAAATACAAATGGGGGGACCTAATGTCCTCCCCCCTGGCTCCCACCCCTGAGCGGTGGGTGGGGGCCCTAAATACAAATTGGGGGGACCTAATGTCTTCCCCCCTGAGCGGTGGGTGGGGGCCCTAAACAAGAATAGAGGGGGACCTAATGTCCTCCCCCTTTTCCCCCATCCCTGAGCGGTGGGTGGGGGCCCTAAACAAGAATAGGGGGGGACCTATTGTCCTCCCCCTGAGCGGTGGGTGGGGGCCCTAAATACAAATGTGGGACCTAATGTCCCCCCCCCGGCCCCCACCCCTGAGCGGTGGGTGGGGGCCCTAAACAAGAATAAGGGGGGACCTAATGTCCTCCCCCCTGGCCCCCACCCCTGAGCGGTGGGTGGGGGCCCTAAACAAGAATAAGGGGGGAACCTATTGTCCTCCCCCCTGGTCCCCACCCCTAAGCGGTGGGTGGGGGCCCTAAACAAGAATAAGGGGGGGGACCTATTGTCCTCCCCCCTGGCCCTGTCCCCTAAGCGGTGGTTGGGGGCCCTAAACAAGAATAAGGGGGGGGACCTAATGTCTCTCCACTAGCTCTACAGGGATGCTGGGCAGCCGGCCGAGATCCCCAGCTACATCCGGAGTTACCGGGAGTAGGGACAGCCGGTCCTACTCCCCAGCGGCCGAGTATGTTATTGGGAGAAGAGATGGTCGGTACAGGTGTTTGTTGTATCTGTTAGTAAGTTACATGTAGCTAAGATACTATCATAAATGTACTGAGCATGTGCATCAACTGTAGTCACATTCCTTTGTCCTTAAAAGGAGTCATACGGTCTACCCATATGAGGTGATCCTGAATATCCTGTTCACTTTTTGGTCTAAAGGTATGTGTGAGTGGAGCTATGAATGGGAGGAGTTATTGTTAATAAATAGCCTGTGCAAACTATGCTCTGGGCTCAGACATTTTTTTAGAACAGGAGTTCATCTGAGACCCGATCGGTGTGTAAATAAAAGACCTGTTACTTCCTGAATAGACTTGTGTCCATCTCTCTATGCGTGGCTTCTGCAGTGTTTTCCTGTAACAATAGTAAGTAACTTGAAGTAAAAAACATTTGATTAAATTATATGTACGAGAATGATACAAATAATTTTAGTTTTTGTTGGTCCAGGTAGAACTTTTTTTAGGCCCACGTAAGCCTAAACTTGGTTTATTTGAGTTTGACATGCTTTGTGTACATTTTACTTCCCACAATCACAGGTCCCTGGCTGTCAGGTAACTATATAACTTAGCAAGCCAGGATGTCAAGGAATATCTAAGGAAATTAGGTCCAAGATGTAATATAGAATGTAAAAGAATGGAGAAAATCAGTCTAAAACAATTGTCTGATGTTTCTGTATCTCTTCCTCTGATGGGATTTACCATCACTACGACTCTGGTCAGCCATGGTTAGTGATATAAGTCTGATGTGCAAAATCTCTTCTCTCTGTCATGGCACAAGTGAGAAAAACTCGAATGAGTCCTGAGTGGGGAAGAAATGGCAACTTTTTCAATTTTTCCTCTTGGAGTTCTCACAAATTCAGTTTTTGACTTATTAAAATGCACCAATTTATTACATTTGTTTGTTGTTGAATCATGTGATGGTATTTAGTATGACACTTGTTCGGCACATTGTGTGTAACTGAACATGTGAATATGTTGTGCAATCTATGTAGGCACTTTAGATGTCATAATAACAGAGGAGCTGCAGTCTCCATTAGACTATCCATGACTAATCACAGTGATTAGTAGTGTAATCAGTGTTGTCTGAATCTATGTATTTGTCATAGCCCCCACAACTTCTATCCTACTCTCAGATATTGATGGGAAACAAATGCAATGGCACTTTGCATTAGTACAAGGAAAGGATATGAAACACAAGCAAAACTTTTTATAAAACTGGCAAAAGAAGGGGGAAGGGGATATGTGATGGGAAAGAAGACCTGGAAAGGAAAAGGGTACGGTGACAGGGGATAAGGTACTTGGAAGTTGGAAAGAAGACCTGATGGAGGAGGTAGATTGACGAAAAGGAAATCTGAAGTTGTCCTACAGCATCTCAAAGGGCTTACTAGACAAAATCTACAATGGATGCTGTGATCCTGACTGGTTTTCTATACCCCTCTGTCATGTGTGTGCAGCAAGTAAGTAAATCTATTAAATTTCAGTAGAGAGGGGACTAGGTTTGTTTTCCTTCAATTCATGAGGAAGTCATAATCCAGGGAACAGAGGTACAGAGAAGTCTGGTAGAGTGAGATAAAAATCAGAATGGTATGAGACGCACCACCCGACTTCGTAGGAGGGTGACCACTAGATTCATAAGCTTGGTGAAGCACCAAGGAGCTGAGGATAGTCTAAATTGGAGGCACCTGAACTGTCATTTCTATCCTTGCCACATGAACTGAAGGAAATCTTAATGAATGTCTGGGATAGCCACCATGATATAGGTGTCCCACAGATCCAGCTTTGCCTTCCAATCAAATGGAGAAAACCCTGCAGGCAATGTCGGCCTTCCATCTTGCAATGATGGTATGATACATAAAGCATTGTGCTGTTTTAGATTGATTACCTGTTGGACACCTCCTCCCTTTTGGGGAACCAAAAACAAATTGCTTATGAAAGCTGGAGTATGGATTGGAACTTCGTGTATAGCTTCTTTGTGCGCCAACTCTATTTGGAGACGAGGTCTGTGTCTCTTTGGGGGGAAAAAAAAATTTCTCTGAGGGAAAAACAGTGGGTAGGTGGGGATATAAAGTCTATGAAATTACCATTTACAGCTGTGATAACCCAAGCATCTAAAAGGTAATAAGGGACCATACAATGGAAAAATGGGAAAGTCTGCCTCAATTTTAACAGTATAAATTTGGTCGGTGGCCACCACATTTCCAATTAGGCAAACCAGTCTCTGGCTCCAACCATGTATAGTTAAAAAGTCAATCACATGGTCAGAGACCAAACATCCTCTACTCAGGCTAGATTATCCATAGCAGACGGCCATTGTTTTGGCCAATATTCAATTGGTAGCTATCTTTCTGGCTCCTATTCTGCCCTGCACATTTTTGCTCAGCCCTGCCCACAGACTGCCTTGCAAGTCGGAGTTTGTGGGTGTTTGACTCTTACATGTCAATTACTATTATCTGATCAATTACTATTATCCGCCATAGAGGTCATGTCCAGTTTGCTTTTCCAGACCTTTAAAAGGCCTTTTTTCAGGCCCAGAGATCAGATCCTCCAGCTTCTCAGACAACTGTGACACTCCTTGTCTAAACCTGCACACCCAGGTCATCTAAATAAAAAAAAACATAAAAAAAAAACAAAACAAAAAAACACTTTTATGCTGACCATTCTATGTCTGTACAGTTACTGTAAACATGAACACACACAAAAAAAAAATTATATATATATATATATATATATATATATATAATCACACACTATTTTTGTAGTGCATAGTTTAACAGACATGCTTGCATTGACAATTCAGATGATTATATATCACAATGCAGGATAGTAATGATAACATGAAAAGTCAAGAATACTGCTATATGTATATATGTAAAAATTGCTAGACTACATTGATTATTCTACTGTATACCTCCCCCTCCTCGGTAAGCCATTAACCTGAACTGCAATAGAATTAGCAAATCATGTACCCTAACTATACTTTATTAGATAAAGAAGTAGCCAGAAGCCCAGAAGAGTCCCACAATATGGCCCAGCTTAGCCTATGCCCGCAAGTGGCAGAACACAGTCCAGCACCCTGGATAGGTACTTCAAGCCTCGGTGTCCAGACAATTGCAAGTAGCCCTGGATCCAGAGCTTTGTTGGATTTCCCTGCAGCACTTCAGCCTCCCAGGGAGACTCAGGCTTGGGTGGTGTGAGGTCAGGCTTCCATGCAGATTGTTTTACAGGCATTTTTGTTGAAAATTTTGTCCGGTCTGGCAATGATGTCCGGTATTCCACTCCTGCTAGTGGGAGGAGGGGGGGCGGCAGGGAAATATGTGGCAGCCACCATTTTTGGGTGCTTTGTCAGGTGCTTGTTACGTGTCAACCCTGACCTGTCTCATTTGGGTAGCCTCCCAGGAATGGACCAGGATTAATTTCAAGAAAAAAATATATTAATAAAATTGTAAAATTTGTTGTTTTTTTTTTTAATAATCATTTGCAGGGGAGGCGGGGGGAGCATGGAGAGAGAAATCCTGAACTTCCGGTTTCGGCCCAGAATTTTCATTTCGGTGCATCCCTAGCTTTCACCAATGTTACCTCTGCACAATCCTAAGCATGCATTGTAATTACTTCATCACCCAATCAAAGTTCTCGAACAAACAGATCAGCATTGATGCGAAGCTTTTGAATTCGCAGCTGTGCTAGACATGGCATGTCTCCAGGATGGAAAATCATCACCTACACAAAGTTGTGAACTATGACAAACTCATCACAGTAGAGTACCAAAGAAGGAGTACAAGGACTCTCTGAAAGAAATCCCGGTGTGCTGGCCCTCCCCAAAGTAATAAAATAGAGTTTTCTCTCACCTTTAGTTCTATAGACACCACTCCTTGCAAAATAGATTTTTAGTACTAATGATTTTAGAAAATCCAATGCCTCCCGCTAGTCAAGCATTGAGGGGCTAGTGTGCATACATCTCCTCAGAGGACGACGGTCCTGCAAAACTCATTATCTCCGGGTACTGGGTCCCTCAAGACACAAAAATAAAATAGACCCCAAACAGACAGCTTGATGAAGATTTAAAAAACAAAAACAATGACAATGCAACCATGGTAATCTGGTTCTGCTGTGAATGGTAATATTGAAAGTATTGATTATAGTGACCCAGGGAGGTGTTAAGTACTCCCATATGGAATTATGGAAAATTGAGAGACTGTTCCAGTGCATCTTCCACAGAACTCTGTCATGCTTTAGATGTACAGGTGCCAGTTTAAGCAGGACAGATAGATAACTACTTGTAATAGTGCTAAAGCATAGGTTAAATAATTGGGGTGTGAAATGCACAGCCTGAAGCATGAACATAGATCAAACTTTAGCTGTATAGTTTCTAGTAGATTTTTGTAAATCAGAAGCCAGGGTCTCTTTTCGCTCGGTCCACCGCCCTGGAGAAGAGAGGGTGGCCTCAAGTCTCATGAAACTGTATCCATGTTGACCAGTAAGATTTCTCAATATTTAGCACCTGTTTTGCTTTGATATCTCACCCCTCTTTTAAAAAAAGGAATAACTGTCCTTACTCCAGCATGCTGCTGCTGGCTCTGCCCCTGATCTGCCTGCCTGGCTGACATTATCAGAAGTGTTGATCAAAAGCCAAATCACAATGCTTTCCCATCGGAAAACATTGAATTGGCAAAGACTGGCAAGGAGGCAGATCAGGGGCAGAACCAGCACAAGCCAAACAAAGCCTTGGCCAATAAGCATTTCGTCAGACATTAATTTAATCAATGCATCTCTATGAGAAAGGGTCAGTGTCTCCATGCAGAGGGCAGAAACACTGAATGGCAGTGCTGCACAATGTGCAGCAGTGTCCCAGGAAGCACCTCTAGAACCCATCTGAGGAGTGGCCAGTAGAATTATCCCATGGCTCTAAAAAGACAGCGTTTACCGCAAAAAGCATGAAGGGATTGATAAGTCACCAGAACAACATCAGCTTATTGTTTGTATTCTGGTGAGTATACCGTGTCCCTTTAACCCCTTAATGACAGATGACCGACCGGGTCCAGCATCCAGGGGAAACAACGCCGGATGACGGACCTGGTCCGTCATGCGTTAAATTTAACCCCAGAACGCTGCAGTGCTGGCGATCGCTGGGTTAACGCTGTTGCTGCGTGCCTCTGAGTCAGTGGTAGACCAGCAACAGCAAATTGCGATGCCCCAGCCCACGTAATTGCTGTGACAGCCAGTCACAATGCTGCTGGGATATCAGATCCGCCTCCCTCCACATCTTGTGGGATTCCGAAATGGAGAGAGACTGATCAACGTTACAATTGTGTCCCTGAAAAGGTTCCAAATCCCCTTTACCCTGTTTAAAAAAAAAAAAAAAAAAAAAATTTAAAATAAACCAGCAGTGATAAATATACAGATCACAGTACTTTACTGTGAGCTAGTTTTTGTTTGTTTTTTATCCTCAAGGGTTAATTTTTATTTTTTTTTGTAACCCTTAGACGTTAATTTTAATATTTTATTTTAGTAATTTAGCTTTTCACTAAATTCCCTCAATTTACTAAAGCACAGTTAGGGGATAAAAAAAAATGTTTAGTTAAGGGTTATTACCTTAATATATAATGCTTAGGAAATATAGTGCATATGCCCTGTTAGCGGCCGACTCAGACGACCGACACTGCCTCAGAGTGACACAGCGGACATGGACTATGTGCCATATACTGCAGGACCATCAGGAGAAATCACTGATTCCCCTAATGCTGAACATGGTGCAGATGACTGGGTACCCCCTAATTTTTCACCAGACATCACAGAGTTTACTGCCAATCCTGGCATACAGGCTTACCTGTCTGGCTATAATGCTCTGGATTGTATGCAGCGGTTCTTAGCGGATGAGATTTTTGGGGAGATAGTCACCCAGACTAATCTGTACGCTGAGCAGTACAGAGTCTCTTATCACCAGGAAAGAGATGGAACCAAACCATTGTGCCATAAATGAAACAATTCTGGGCACTGACACAGTGGCGTCTCTAGGATTCATTTTTGGGGGGCACATGGAGGACCAGGGACAAAAGTAGGGGAGCACATTTAACCCTTCCCTCGCCGCAGTTTGACCCCACCCCTGTCGCATTAAGCCCCGCCCTGACACAATGTGTTTTGTTTTTTTAATAATCCCTGGTGGAGGATTCATTTTCCACCAGGGATTCTTAAGAAACAAAACACATTACCCTTGATACAGTGCCATAGTTGCCAACATTTGAAAAAAAAATTCCAAGTACATTTTGCAGCACAGCTCTCAATTACTGTCTGGGTATAATATCCCTGGACAGTCAGTGCTCTCTGTAGAATACAGGGATGTGTGTATAATAAATTGGGACACTCAGTGCTCCCTGTATAGTGCTGCTCTCTGTATAATACAGGTCTGTTTGTGTATAATATCCCAAGACAGAGAGCCGCACTATACAGGGAGCACTGACTATCCCGGGATATTATATACACACACAGATCTGTATTATACGGATAGCTGAGCATATACCCCATGTCCCAATCTCTAGACTACTAGTACCTGTCAACAGCAGCTCCCAGACGCGTGTAACAGGGCTAAAGTGTGCGGCAGCTCACACAGATAATTCAGCGGTAAAGTGCACTCGCTGGCAGAGCCAAACTTGGAATCCCTGGGAATCCAAAGCAGCCCTGGAAAAAAAAAAAAAAAAACACAAACAAACACATTTATGCCATTCCCCCCCACCCCCCACCACACACACACACACACACACACACGTGCAAATAGGCTTACTGACAGACAAAACTCTCTGACTCACACACAAGCTTACTACAGACAAACTCACTTGTATAAACAGAAGGCTCACTACAAAGAAGTTCAGGGACACACAAGCTCACTAAAGACAAGCTCACTGACACACACATGCTCACTAAATAGAAGCTCACTGACACACACAAGCAGTACCATTTTAACAGAGTTAAGGGCCCTTGGGCAAAGCAATGCACTGGGGCCCTTCCTACACAACAACTCACAGGAATTTTAATTATTGATAGACTGAGTCCATACACACACACACAGACCGTTGAGTCTATACACACACACAGAGACTGCTGAGTCCACACACACACACACACACACACACAGACTGCTGAGTCCACACACACACACACACACTGCTGAGTCCACACACACACACGCACACCTGTCACTGGAGGCTGTTACTGCCATCTTCTGCAGTAGCATGGTCTGCTGCTTTAGGGCGGGGGCGGGGCATGTGCGGGAGACAGGGCCTGTGCCGGGGAGCCTCTCACTGCTCCCTCCAGCCCCAGCAGCGTTCTAGCTACTCAGTCCTGCATTCCCTTGGGCTGTCACAGTCACACAGTTACAGTCTGAGGGAATATAATTGAAGCACATGGCCAGCAAGTTGCCGGCATTTGGGGGGGCCCAGCATGATGTAGAGGGGGCGCCATGGGCCCCTCTGGGCCCCCCCCAGCGACACCACTGCACTGACAATGCTAATTAAAAAGCCCAAAATTAGGATGTCTTTAATTGCCCCTTCCACCCCCCCCCCAGACAATGAGTAGGGACAGATATGAAGACCTACTGTGATTTATGCACTTTAGGGACAAAGTGCCCACCAAAAGGTCATCCGCAGTATGATCTATATAAAATACGCCACTATTTGTACCCCCAAAAAACATTTCTATTCATGAAGTATAAGGGAAGAATTGGGTTTAAACACTACATCCCATCCAAAAGTACCCGATATGGGATCAAATTTGATAAATTGTGTGAAAGTGGCAGTGGCTATGTGTACACCTTCCGTGTATACAAAGGAAGGGATAGCCACCTTGATCCCCTGGTTGCCCAGATATAGTAGGGACAAGTGGGAAAATGGTCTGGGCCTTGATAACGCCATTACTAAACAAGGGATATATCACTTATATATTGATAATTTTTATAATAGTATCCCACTCCTAAAAATGCTGTACTTCTCTCTCTCGCCCCCAGGCAACAGTGAGTAAAAACAAAAATGCATTCAAACTACCGAACGGGGGACCCATGCGCCCATATACGTGAACGCAGAGACGAAACGTCCTGCTCCAAGTACATAGGTCGTTCATTTCGTTAAGTGAGATTAAGTGGTTAGGTTTCGTTTGTGCAAACAAATTTAGTTTGGCTAAATCAGACGTACAATCCTGTCAAAGCGTGCACACTGCCATCTATGTATCAAACGGCCAACTACACATAAAACCCCTACAAGTAATAATGCAGTGATTATCACAGTTGCGTCACAGGAACACATGGCATGGGATGAAGAAACTTTTTTCTTTTTCCCCCTTTCTCGCTTGTTAAACGTGTTTTGCACCAATATAATAAATACGGCTAAATGATTATTAAGTAAAGACTTATATGGTCATTCAGTATTAATCTCTACACACAGTAACATGTTTTAAACTACGTATTTTGATCTGTTTCTGTGATTATCCTGGCTTAGCAAGCAGAAAAACACAAGGTGATGGGTCTTTATAATGAAACAAATGTAAATACGGTCAGTCACAAACATGCCTTCCTTAAATATGCTCATATGGTCGTTATGCATTTTCAGAATTCAGATCAATACTCTGAATTCAATCTGGTCATTGTGAATTTTCTGGTACATACGGTACGTTAAAGCTAGTACAGTTCTATGCAGCGGGAGGGGGGGGTAAAAGTCACAGCGTAACCTGGTTAGACAAGTTAGACTAAAGTACAAGACTAGCTATTGCCAAGGGAAAATAATGTTAACATAAGGGAAATAAAGTAAAGTGAGTAGTACAAGGTAAACCTCAGGGAAACAATTCATGAGGATTTTATTAAATTCCAGTCACAACCCCTATCAATCTTCATTTCCATTTCAACGGGTACACTCGCATAACTGAATACATTTTCCGTTTCACAAGTATACAGACCAGTAAGTTAACTTCCCTATCCATATCAGTTTCTGGCACATACATACTACGCCATTACAGTAAGCTACACAAGTTAAAAGGTGAAGGCAGTTGTCCACACTAACAGACGAACGTTAACCAGGACAACCTACACATATTTAATTATCTGAAACAAACTTAGAGACTTACCGCACACCAAACGCTTGAAATCAAGAAACGCACGTAACCATACAAAGAGGATCACTTGGCAACGTTACATTGGCACACAGGTCACAGAAGTTCATACATACAGACAAGTTACCAAACACCAGTTATATTCACACGTAATTCTCGTAAAAATAAATGAGTCACTTCATTCCCTTAAAATCGGTTAGATCCAGAAGTATCCATCCATACTAGCCACACCTTAAGAGGACTACCAGTTGACCCAGGTACGTATCACTTAAAATCAACAAACACACGCACAAACATAGTGAAGTAACCAACGATAGTCTCGGTTCACAGGTGGTACATACCAATAAACTCAGAAATCCTAAGAAGCATAAGATCCCCTCTATAAAAGATAAGGTATTTGAACGGCCCATATACAGGCAAGGTAGATCGGGATCCTGCTAGACCAACACCCATCCTCACCTAGAGGTATTCTCGCTCAAACCATAGCTATAGTCTTGCATCACTTTACTCAAGTGATCTAGTTAGGGCATCAATTTCCTCAGCCATTTTCCACATATCAAGTCCCTAGAGGCAGACACCCAGCCTTCGCTTAAAGACACAGCACAGGGCCAAATCATAGATAGCGCCTCTAACAGCCACTTGGCAATCAGCAGGGCCTCACCATCCCACGAGTAGCTAAGTTCTTCGCCACCCAGCAATTAGAGAAACGCCAGTTAATGCAAGTCACTATAACGAGACAAACGTTTAAAATGTAGTTATAGCATGTCTCACGTGTCAGAGCAAGCAGATGACTTCTCCCTACCCAACACGCCTGCTAGACCACCCACTCCAACTACAGCAGGAGAGAGCCAAGCC